AATAATTGATTGTATTTACAACAATTAAATAAAAAAAAAAAAAATAAAAAAAAAACTAGTCCAATAACCTGTTTGTTTAATATATTTTTAGTTTTCATATAATAATTTAAATTTTTCAAAATTATAATTTTTAATTTTTTTTAAATTTTTTTTATAAAAATTTTTTTAATATTTATAAACTTGGCAATCTATTATATAAAATAAGAAAAATGAATAAAATTAAAACTATATACATCAATTTTAAAAGATAAAATAAAATGGAAACAATTACCTATGAAAAATTTAAAAAAAAAAAAATAGAGGAGTATTCAGAAGAGAATTTGAAAAAAATAGGAGAATCACTGTGCTTTAGATTTAATTATAGAAAAAAAGATTTGTACAATAAAATAATTAATCGTTTAAAATTAGATAACGAAATAGAAAAAGAAATTATAAAAAATAAAAGTATCAACCCATTTAATAAAAATAACAACATTTTAATAATTGAAAACATTTCCTTGATGGAGAAACTATTTTGGGCAGTTTTTAGAAATAAAACAATATTCAATTCAATATTTTCAAATTTTATTTTAAAAAAATCATGTAGCTATGATGATTTAATTGGTACAGAATATATTTTCAATAAATTCACAAATGCAATATATATAATAAAAGATAAAATAATTAGTAACAAATATGTATTCAGAAATGAACACCATGATATAATAGAAATATTCAAAAACATTATTAAAGATAACCAAGATAATAGAGATTTTTATGATGTACTCTTTACAAAATCAAATATTAATTTCAAAGATTGGAACATATGGATAGAGTCAATTCTTCAAAGTTGTAATTTAGCAGCACTTAAAAAATATATATTTCATTTTAAAATTAGTCCACAAGAAATTCAGAATACCTTTCCGGTTACATCATTCTCTTTTAACAGCTATTTAGATATCAAGATGCTCTTCTACCTTAAACAACACTATGGTCATGTTTCAGAATCATTCATTGAACCTCTGGTTAGACTTAGATTCAATAACTATATGTTTGGAAGTCAAGTATATATCAACATTCTGGTGGAACCATTTAAATTGAAAAAACTTATCAAAATATACAAATATATAATCACCCTTTACTATAATAATAATAATGGTCTAAACAATGATACATATAAATATTATAATTTAATAATAGAAACAAACAAAATCACATCCAATCACTTTACAAAAAACCAATTAAACTCCACCATTAGGGATTTAATTATACAACACAAAACTCAGGCATCAAATCAACAAGATATAAGCCATTTAATAGGTTTACTACATAATTATTATAAAATAATATTTCATATAAGTAAAAAATACCAAAAAAAACGATCAAAAACCAGAAAACCAATGGATTACTACTATTACTTTAAAGAAATTGATAGAGTAAAAGATATGTTGGTATCAGAGGGAAAAACACTAACACTATCTATGGTGCAAGATTTTTTTCAAGTTACACTTTCAAATAAACAACAGAAAATAGAATTTATCAATAATACTCGATCACCCAAATCTCTGGGATATTTAGCAAATTTAATACTCTCTGGAAACGATATTGAACTTAAAGATCATTATGAAAAGAATTTAAAGCCGTTTTTAAATTGTACATATTTTAAACAAAGTGCTCTAGAATCTATTTCAGATACCAAAACACTTGACTATTTCTTCGAGAAAAATCTCTATTTTGAAGATGGGAATGAAAATTGGCAATATATCAACAATAAAGATGTTCTAATACACTATGAAATGCTAATGAAACAATCTTCGAAAAAATTTAGAATAGTTTATTCTGATAATTTAAATATTTATATGTTTATATTATATAGAGCATTATTATACCCATCAATATATAAATTCGATAACTGTAATGATTTAAAGCGCAATAGCTCCCTACCAGTAACCAACCCCTATCTATCCGCCCTCAATATCATAATCCAAAAAAAACATGATATATTTGAAAACAAATATTATCACAAAAACAATTTTTTAAAACCAACTCAGCTTATTTATCAAATATCAACCAATATCTCCAAAGATTTATTTTATAATATCATTAAATCAAGAATATCTAGAAATTTCGAATTTATCTTAATTTTATTTCTTTTTTATTGTGGCCGTATTAAAGAAGGCATCGAATATTTAGAGCAATTTCCAACTTATTGGGATATTAAATTTTTTTCTCAGGAGTACAATATACTCGCCATTCTTCCCATCAAATCTTTAGAAAAACTAATAATTTTTTTTCTTAAAAAAAATCAAGTCAGTAACTTCAACCTATTGACAAAAATAGCAGCAAAAAAAGGTTATTTACAAATTTTTAAAAAGGTATTTTCAAAATATGGTATCTTTTTAAGAGATGAAAACACCTCCCAGTATAGAGATAGAGTAGGCGTCTTCATCTCAACTGCCAGATCATACAATAATGAGAAATTATTAGACTTTTTATTAAAATACACAGGAGGATTTTAAATAGCAAATAAAATAAATTATTCTTAGTTTTATAAAAAAACAAAAAAAATAAAATAACTAAATTCTTTAATTTATTACTTTATCTTTTATTTATTTTAAATTTAATTTAACTATTTGAAAAATTTAAAGGGATTTAAAAAAGATAGTAAACCCTCTTGGTTTGTATTATTGTTATTGTTGTTATTACCACCTGCTCCTCCGCTTCTATTGTCTAAAGGCTAAATTGAAAAAGTAAATGTTTTATTAATTAAATTTGAACACACCTTAATCATCATCATCTATAATGATAAGCTCGATTGGTCTTTTTTTGTTATATTGACTGTTATTTAAAGAAAATAAATTATTTTTACTTACAACCATGTATAAAGTTGAGATTGGAAGTAAATTTAATTGTTGTAATGTTAAATCAAGTTGTGAAATAGAAAATGGTGTTTGGCCAGAAGAATCTTTACAAATTGCATAAGGAATAGTACCATCAGTACGATTAATATTTATAAAATCTTTAACATTTCTTAAAGTATCTGTCTTTTTAAAATTTGATTGAATTCTGTATCCATTAGTCTGAATCACCCTAATTTCCCTATATGTATACAAGTATTTAATAAAAATTATAAAATAAATTAAAATGATGAACTATGTGTATTTTAAAATTAACTGTAACCATTGTAATATTTATGATAATATAATATTATAACGATAATAAATAATAAAATTAAGTACCCTAAATCACCTGAAATATATCTTTGTTTTTGTTCTTCTCTTAAACTTGTTAAATCATTTTTTTGTTTTTTTTGTTCAGTATGATATTGTGAATCGCTAATATTTTTATATGATGATGTTGTTGATGTTGTGGTAAATGATGCCTTTGCTGTTTTAGTTGATGTATTATTTATTGGTTTCCCTGGACACATGTGACTTGATGGAAATCTATGTCTATTTAAATAATAATTATATAAAAATATGTTAAAACCATAACACCTCCAATAATATAGATGTATTTATAAATATCCTATGACCTACTTTAAACAATAATTAACTTTACATTTATCACACAATACTTTTACAAACTCGGTAGATTTACAACTTTTAAATGTACATGCATAACTTTTAGGTACATTAGGTTTAGTTTTACCACATTCACCACTATCTATATGCCTTGAAATCTATGATGAAAAAAACATTAGTACTAATATTCCAGCATCAATTTGAATTGATTTATTATACCTACAACTTGATCGATTGAAGCCACCGAATCAACTTTAACTAAACAATTGCATATCGGACAAGGATGCACTATTTTATTTATCTTTTCATTTTTTTTTATACAATCATGTGCTTCTGGATCACGATGGTCATGACAATACTGCTTTCCACATTCGCATTTATATGGTAAAAAATCTAATAATCTACAATCACTAACACTACAATGTACACCAACGTGGTCCAATTGGTATTTTTCTTTTTCTACATTATCCATTATTATCGCTATTATGAATTTATAAAAATAAAAATAAATAAAAAAAAAAAAAAAATTTAATTAAAAAAAAAAAAATAAAAAAAAAAAAAAATAAATAAAAAAAAATAAAATAAAATAAAATAAAAATAAAAATAATAATAAATAAATAATAAATAAATAAATAAATAAATAAAAAAATAAATAACTAACTAAATAATAAATAAATTAATTAATTTTTATAAAGTTTGGGAATATAGTTTTGTAGAAAAAATTTAAAAAAAAAAAAAATTTTAAAAAAAAGTTAAATTGATAAATTTTTTTTTAATTATTTAACAAAAGTGGGTTAATATTTTTATAAAATAAATTTAATAAATTACGAATATATAAATAAATAAGATGAAAGTTTCAAAATCTTTTTTTTTTTTTTTTTTTTTAAATTTTTTTTTATTTTTTAATTTTTTTTATTTTTTGTTGTTGTTATAGTATATATTTTTTTAGAAATCCCAATTTAGAATTTTAATTGTTTTGGTTGTTCCCAAGTGAAATCTGGATCGTTACGACCGAAATGACCACCAGCAGCAGTTTTTTGGAAAATTGGTCTGGTTAATTGTAAATCTCTCATTAAACAACCTGGACGTAAATCGAAATTGTTGTTGACGATTTCAGTTAATTCTTCATTTGATTTTTTACCGGTACCGTAGGTATCAACGTAAACTGATAATGGTTTGGCAACACCGATAGCGTATGAAACTTGAACTAAACAACGTTCAGCAAGACCAGCAGCAACGATTGATTTGGCAACCCATCTAGCAGCGTAGGCACCTGATCTATCGACTTTGGTTGGATCTTTACCTGAGAAGGCACCTCCACCGTGACCACCCCAACCACCATAGGTATCAATAATAATCTTTCTACCGGTTAAACCTGAATCACCCATTGGACCACCAATGACGAAACGACCTGATGGATTTAAATGGTAAATGGTTTGGTCATCTAAATATTCGGCTGGGATAACAGCTTTGATAACTTTTTCTAATAATTCAGATCTGATGACTTCGTTGGTAACGTTTTCGTCGTGTTGAGTTGAAATGACAACAGTGTGGACTCTCTTTGGTTTGATGCTGTTACCGACTTTTTCGTATTCGACGGTGACTTGGGTCTTGGCATCTGGACGAGCCCAGGCTAAGGTACCATTGTGTCTTAATTCAGTTAATTTGTTGACTAATTCTGAAGCAAGGAAATGGGTGAGTGGCATTAAAGTGGCAGTTTCGTTGGTAGCATAACCAAACATGTGACCTTGATCACCAGCACCAATATCTTCTGGGGCTTTGTTGATGTGGACACCTTGGGCAATATCTGGTGATTGTTGTTCAATGGCAACTAAAACGTTACAGGTTTTGTAATCGAAACCTTTTGATGAATCATCAAAACCGATTTTTTTAACGGCATTACGAACAACAGTTTGGTAGTCAACAACAGCTTTAGTGGTAATTTCACCTAAAATCATGACCATACCAGTTTTTGAGGCAGTTTCTATATAATAATAATAATAATAATAATAATAATAATAATAATTAATATTTAATTTATTAAAACCTATATAAGTTAATGTATATCTATATGAGTTCACTTACCACAAGCAACTTTTGAGAGTGGATCTTGAGCTAAACAGGCATCGAGAACGGCATCTGAAACTTGATCGCAAAGTTTATCTGGGTGACCTATTTATTTTTAAAATTTAAAAATATTAATATTTGTGTTTTGTTTTGATTTTTTTTTTTTTCTGTTTATATTTCTATATCTAAATGATAATTTACCTTCAGTGACACTTTCACTATATATTTAATAATATTATAATTGTTTAATTTGATTCGATTTTAAATTTTTAAATAATTTAAAATATTAAAAATAAAAAAAAAATTGATTAGTTATTTTCAAATAATAATAAATTTAATTGTTAATAATATTATTTGTTGCTTATTATTGTTTAAACATAAATAAAATTAATAAAGTTAAACTTTAATTATTTTTATTTTATTGATTTGTTTAAACATTAATAGCTTTTTAAATAATATATTAATTTTTTTATTTTATATTATAAAATTTAAAAATATACCTAGTGAATAAGAATGTAGTTGACATTTTTATATACTATATAACTATCGTTAGAGAAAAAAAAATTTAAAAAAAAAAAAAAAAGTTTTCTAAGACGAAAAAAAAAATTTTTGAAATTATAAAAAAAAAATAAAAAAAATTAAAAAAAAAAAAAAAATTAGTTTTATTGAAAATATTTCGTTATTATTAAGGCTATAGAATTTTTCCACCTTGACTCACAAACAATATTAAGATAAATAACAAAAAAAAAAAAAAAAAAAAAAATTTAAAAATAAAAAAAAAAAAATGAACTATATGTTAATAAATAAAAAAAAATAATATGATGGTATGGTGTGAAAAAAAAAAATTTTAAATCTATTTTAGATTTTTAACATAGCACACCCCACACATATGTTTGTAAAAAAAAAATAAAAAATAAAAAAAAAACGAGAAGATATTTTTTATTAAATATTACTATTTGTTTAAAATTATAAAGATAAAATAATAATAATACAATTTGTGGGTATGTAAATATAAATATAGAATAACAGATTATGATAATAATGAGTCAAGACAACATTTTTTTTTTAAAATAGTATTCATTCAATGACAATTTTTTTTTTTTTAAATCTATAATCTTATAACAAAATTTATTTATATTTTTTATCTACTTACCGCTAAACCACTAAACCATTAAATAAATAGTAATATTAAATTTTTTTTAAAAAAAGTCAATTTATATTAAAATTATAAGCTTGATTATAAAATTATAAAAATAAAATAAAATAAAATTAAAAATAAAAAATAAAAATTAAAATAAAATTCACACATATAATACACCCGACCCAGGAATAGGATTAGATATCACTAAGTGGTATGAGAGTATTCTATTGCAAAAGAATCAAAAATATCATTTTAAATATTATTCCTATTGCCATCATTACCCAAAAATATCATTTTATTATTTTATTATTGCCACTATCCACACACAAGATGCCACTGCACAATTAATGCTGACAAGATCAACGAGCGTTTTGGGATTTTTAAAATCCCTATTCTCCTATGATTTAATTTAAATTCCTTTTTTTTTTATTTTATTTTTTATTTTTTTATTTTTAAAAAAAAAAAAAACTAAAAAAAAAAAAAAAAAAAAAAAAAAACTATAATATCCAATCTCTGCTGACTCAGGGTTTTTTTTTAAAAATAATTATTTGTCTTAAAGAACCTTCAGAGATAATTTAGAATCTGGAAGATTCCGACAGATAAGCATTATTTTCCCTATGAAAAAAAAAAAAAAAAAAAAAAAAAAAAAATTTTTAATAAAATAATCCAATTAAAAAAATGATGTTTATTAAAACACAAATAAATAAATGCATAAATAAAATAATATTTAGAAAAGAAATTTAATTTTACATTTTATTATTTTTATTATTTTTGTTCTTTTTCTTGTTGCTCTTTCTCTTGTTTTTCTTTATCTTCTTTTTCTTTTAATTCGGGGTGTAATGATGGATTTTTATTTTCGATTGAATTGATCAAGTCTCTGATTTCACTGTTTTCAGGTTTCATTCTTTCTTCGACTTCTTTTAAACTCTTTAAAAGTTTATCACGTTCATCTTCAGGAAGAGTACGATAGACTACAGATGACTTGTGAGCAGTAGCAGCGCAAAAGTATTCTTTGTTTTGGGTAATATCGGCCAAGTGAAGTGCTTCGTCAAATGCTTCCATTGCAATAGATACAATATCTTTATCTTTAGCAGAAATTAATGGATTTGCTAATGAACCTATATAAATACAGAGTTTGAACATTGATGCTTTTCTTTGTAATAAAAATTGATCTCTTGGAAAACCTGGCATACTCTTTAACCATAAATAAATTTCCCATGCATCGGCGTGCAATTTCATAAATCCATTATCATCGTCTGGTTTTGGTTCGTTTGGTTGTGGTTGTTGTTGTTGTTGTTTTGGTTGTTGTGATTGGTTTTCTTTATCTTTATTATTTAATTGATAGATTCTATCACGATCTTGATAAGTAAATTCTAATTTTCTTAAATATGAGTCAAATAAAGCAATGGATCTTGGTGGTGTCTTTTCCATTGCTACGGCTCTTTCTAAAATATTGATTTCTTTATCGATTTGATTAGTTTTACTGTAAATATTTGCTAGTAATTCCATAGCTCTGGCATCTAATGAGGCATCTTTAAACGATTGTGCAATCTTTCTAATATCAAATAAACGCTTTTCGATTGGTTCTGATTCTTCTTTTAATATTTCTTTTGTATTGTTACTGTTGCTATTATTTACATATTTTAAAATTAATTCGTTCCAATCTATAAAACAATTTAACATTGATGTTAATGCTTTGCCATGGTCATGTTGCAACTCGTCGCAGAGTTTACTTGATTGTTTTGAGCATTCTTTTAATTGACCTAAAATATTTTTAACATCATCGACTAAATTTGGTGGATTACTTGAAAATAAAACTTTAACTTTTCTTTGTAATTCTAATGAATTTACTAATATTTTTTGTAATTCTTTTTTTTTTTCTTCCATTTATTTAAATTATTATTGTTATTATTTTTATATATATTATTAAAAAAATGAAATAATAAATTTTTTTAAAAAAATAATGAAAATGAAAAAAAAAAAAATAAAATTAAAAATAAAAATAAAAAAAATATTTTTTTTTTAAATTTAATAGAAAAATGAACCAAATCTAAGCCAAAAAATATTTGAAAAAAAAAAAAAAGAAATAATTCACACAATGGAAAGTTTTTGATTGTTGGTAAAAAAAAAAAAATGATTGAAAATTTATTAATTAATTAATTAACTTAGTTTTTTTTGTACAAAATGTAATAATATCTATTATTATATTATTATTATTATATTATTTTTTTTTCTATTTATTATTTTATTTCATCAGTTTGTTTCTTGAAATAACTGTGTAAAGATAAAAATTAAAAATTAATATCAAAAAATAAATTTCTTTTTTTTTTATAAGTTATAAGTTATACATACACTTAAAAGATTTCTTGGACTCACATTTTCATTTTCTTGAGATTCCAATGATTTTTTAATAAAAAGTTTTGAACTTGAACTATTTATATTTTCCAAACCTCTTTTACCCAGTTTTTTCTTTGAACCACTGCTACTATTTAAATATTCACCACTGCTACTTAAAAGATTATTTGCGCTATTATTTTGTACACCATAGAATGATGAATTTAAATTGTTGGTGCTCGATGTTACATTATTAACTAGTAATTTATTAATTGGGGTATTGGATCTTGGCTGATTGTTATTGATATTTGAAGAGGATGAAGATAAAGCATTTATAGTTAAAGGTGATGATGATACATTGTTTTCTTCGTGTATTGTTGAGAATAGGCTATTTGTTAGGTTGCTATTTAAATTAAAGTGAATTGGTGAGTCTCTACTACTGTCATCATCATCGCTTAATAGAGAGGATGAGGAGTGGGAGTAGTTTATAGTATTTGCAAAAGAAATTGATTTTAAAAAGTGGTTGCCGTTATTATGATTACTAACTCTTATACTATTACTATTGTTATTATTAAATTCTGAATCGATACAATCATCATAGTCATCATCATCATAGTTATTGTTATGATATTCATCTTCGCCATTATTACCATTAAATAAATTATTATTGTTGTTATTGTTATTTTTTTGTTCTTGTTGATATTTTAAATAAGGTTCTATTAATTGTTTACAGTAGTTTTGATTCTTTCTTCGTTTTTCTTGAATGATTTGAATATTTTGATGTGATAGTATTGTATCCAATTGAATACGATCTTGAATCAATGATTTCATCATTTCACATATTATGGTGTACAATTGATCAGAGTATTTTGATGGTTCTAAAAATTCGTTGGCTTTATCATTTCTTAACATTTCCCATAGTTGTCCGTTGGAGGGCATCTCTTTACCAGTTACAATTTCGAAAAAAGTTACACCAACTGAAAATATATCTGAGGGTTTGCAAATTAGTTTCTTGTTGGTTAAAAATTCGGGTGCTAAATATCTGCTATCACCTTCTATAAAATCAAAAAATATATCATCTTCATCTAAACTTAAATTATTATAATCACTGTCTATTGATGTATTATTTGAATTTGTACCGTTATTATTATTATTGTTATTGCCATTATTATTGTTATTTATATTATTATTTACTTCTAATTTAACTGCCATACCAAAACTATTGATTAAAATAATGAAAAAATTATTTATTAGTAAAATTTTAATTTAATTTAGTTTTATTGTTTATAAGTAAAATATATACTCTCCAATTTTAATATTTCCTTCTGATGATATATATAGGTTTTCAGGTTTAATATCTAAATGTAACATGTTGTATGAATGTATATGTTGAATACCCTGAAAAAAAATTAATTTTTATATATTAGTAATTTATAAAAATGAATTTCTATATAAAATATATTGTTTAATAATACATACCAAGCAAATATCTAATAAAAAGTTCCAAATTAATTCTTCAGTTAATAATAAATTTTCGACTGATGACACAGATTCTAGAAAATCTTGTAATGATCCATTTTCGCAAAGTTCAGTTTGAATATAAAGTGTACTATTTTGTTCCCAACTGCTATAGTATTGAAGGACATTTTGGTGGGGTGGTAATGATACAGCAGTTTTAACTTCACGGACTGCTCTCTCTCTTTCTTGAAAACCTCTAAATTGATGTCTTGCTTGTTTAACTGCATAGAGTTGATCATCAAATTTGCTTTTTACTTTATATACTACTGAAAAGGAACCAGTTCCTAAATTTGATTGAATTTCAAAATTTTTATCAAATAATGATATTATATTACTGTTATTATTACTGGAGTTGAGACTATTATAAAAACCATTATTGTGTACAGGTGAGGATAGTGTCGTTAATTTATTATTTATACTGCTACTAAAACCATTACTATTGCTTCCGTTAAAACTACCACAATGAAATTCATTTTGGCTATTGTTATTATTGTTGTTATTATTATTATTATTATTTACAAGTTCTGTTAAATTAGGTGAAAAGTTGGATAGGGATGATATATGATGGATTAATGGTACATTGGATTGTAGTTGCCTGCTTGCTGGTGTAGATTTTAGCGGTGGTGAAGGACATTTAGGAGTTTGATATTGATTTTTTTTCTTTTCGCTAAACATTGATGAATTAAATGCATATTGTTCTGGTGTTGGTTTGCTTGTTGATTGTGGTTGTGTTGTTGAATTTGACCCATAAAATTGTGGTATGGGTCGTATAGGTGTTTTTAATGGTGTCATTGGTGGTGCTAATTTATTATATGGTTCCATTATTTATTTTTATTTATATATTTTATTTATATGGTATTTTAAACTATAGTAGGGATGTTTGATGTATATACAAGTTTTATTATGATTTATATGATTTATATGATTTATATGATTTATATTATATACGAAATTTTTCTTTTATTTTTTTATATTAATATATTTTGTTGTATTATAATTATTATTATTATTTATTGTGATGTATTTTATTATTTATTGATTATTTTTATTTCTTATAGTATGAGATGAAATTTAAAAATAAAAAGAAAAAAATAAAAATAAAAATTTAAAAAGTGAAAATTTAAAAAAAATTAAAAAAAAAAAATCAAAAAAAAAAAAAAAAAAAATAAAAAAATTATTTTTTATTTTTTTTTTTTATCATCCGCTTGACACATATTATCTCAAATAAACGCGCGCCAAGTTCATCAAATATAAATCATTTTGGATCATCCTATGATAAGTGAAAAAAAATAGATTTAAATCTCTACATTTTGGGAGGGAAATTTATTTTTACCACCCACCAAAATTTAAATATTTGTATTGATTCACCCCATTTTTTTTTTTTGAAAATAATTGTTAAAAATAAATTTAACGATTTAATCTCATTCAACAAAATAACACATTAAAAAAAAACACAGCAATAAAAAAAAAATAATATTACAAAAAAAAAAATATATTTTTATTATTATTTATATTTAATGTAATTATATTTTAAATTAATAAAATTATTTAATTTAAATTAAATATAAATAAAATAATATAAAAAATATTATTATCAAAAAATTTGACCCAATTTTTTTTTTTTTTTATCGAGAAATAAATAAAAACCGATCGAAATCTTGATTTTAAAAGATTATTTTGAAAAGGTGTTATTTTAATGTTAATGTTAATGTTACAATGAATGTTCATTATTTATTTTATATGTGAGTTTTTTTTTTTTTTTTTGAATATTATAATATTATATTATTATTATTTAATTTTTATAATTATTATTATATATTATTATTGTTTCAACAAGTTTTTTTTAATAAATAAAAATATATTTTAAATGAATTTAGAATTTTCTAACTGATGGAGTTGCTTTGGAAACAACAGTAGCAGTTGAGGTTACTGATGTTTTACCAGATTCTTTTAATTCTTTTAATTCTTTTTCGAGAGCGCTAATAATAGATAAAAAGAAATTAGTATTATTATTATTTTGTTTATAGTTTATAAAATTAGTAAACATACGCAATTCTTTGATTTAAAGCTTGGGTTTCTTTTTGATGAGCTTCAACTAATTTCTTTGTAAAGTCAGTGATAATTGGTTGAAGTATTTTATCAAATTGGGATGATGCTGATGATAAGGTTGCAGCAGATGATACGATTGGTTTGCTTGTTGGTACTGCTGGTGTAGAGGTTGCTGGGGTTGGTGTGGTTGGTGCTGGGGTTGGGTTAATTGCTGAAGGAGCTGAGGATTGGGTTGGGGTTGGTGGTACTGGTTTATTTTCATTAACTGATGGTAATGGTTTGGAGTGGACTGGGGTATGTGTGGCTGGGGTATGTGTGGCTGGAGTGTGTGTGACTGGTGTGTGTGTGGCTGGGGTGTTTAATTTATTTGAACCAATTGGTGTAACGGTTGGAGCAGCCTTGGCTGTTGCAGATGGGGTAACTGGTAATGGTAATTCTCTTTTTGGTGAGGCTGTAGTATGGTTGCTGTTTAATTGTTTGTTAAGGTTTGGTGGAGTAAAAACAGTTGGTGGTGGTTGAATAGTTGCTGCTGGGGTTACTACAGGTGTTGGATTAGTAGTATTGTTATTTTTATTTTGATCTTCATTATTGCTATTATCTGTTGATTCATAATATGAGTAGTTTGAATAATCTTCATTATCGGTATTTTCTGGTTCGATCCAATCAACACATGTATTTGGGAAATAACCAGTTTTACCTGCAACACTAACACCTTCCCACCAATATTCGTTATCCCAGCTATAAACAGTTACAATATCACCGACTCTTAATTCAATTTCACCTTCATCAGCTGGATCGTGGTCATAAACAACTCTTGCTTTTGGATAGAGATGGCTAAAATCTTCACCAGTGTAAGTCTCACTATCGCTTTGACCTTCTGGGGCGGATGCAGCTGAGCCTTGACCACTGTTGGCTTGTTCTAATGGACCAACAAAAGCTTTTGGGAAATAGCCCATTTGTCCATTTAATTTACCACCATACCAATCTGGATCTTCGTCGTGAATGATATCAATGATATCACCAGCTTTAATTGATAATTCGTCATCGGTACTCTTTTGATAGTCAAATAATGCAACAACTTTTTTCTTTGTTTGGACACCAGTGGCACCTAAACCTAAACTCTTTTTAATTTCAATAATTTTTTGAATAACCTTTTGTTCTTTCTTACGAAGTAAGTCGATTTCATTCTTTTTAACTTCGACTTGCTTGTCAAGACCTTCCATTGATTTTGTATCCTTTGAACGTTCGTAAACTTCTCTCATATATTCCATACCTTTTCTTTGTTTAACTAATGATTCGATAGAGTCTCTAATCTTTGATAAAACCTGTTCTAATGCTTTTGGATCGGTGTCTAATGAGTGTAATCTGTGGATTTCTTGTTCTAATTCTTGTTTTCTAACTTTCATATCTTCTAAATGTTTGGTTTTATCTCTGAGGTTGTTTTCTACTAATTTAACTTGCTTTTCATCTTTTTGCATTTGGTAAACTTGTGCCATTTTTGTCATACCTTTAATTGCACCTTCAGCTTCATTAATATAGTTTGCGAGATTTCTAATTTCATTTTCGATATCATCAACTTCTTTTGTTCCAGTATCTAATTCTTTAACTATACATTTTAATACACAATTATGTGCATTATTGGATGTATATTCTGATTTAAAACCGCCTGGTGCTACTCTTCTAAATTCTTTTCTTCCAAACATTGGGTTATTCCAAAAAAATTCAAATTGTCCATCGCTAACCTTTGAACCTTCAATAACATAAATTGAACCTGCTTCTGTACCACCAATCATACCCGATTCTGATCCAAATTCTACAATACTATAAAAAAAAAAAAATTTAATTTGAGATTAATATTTTTCTTTTTCTTTTTTTTGATTTTTTTTAGTATAAAGTATTTACCTTAATGGTAAAATATGTTCTGGTGGTGAAACTCTCCATTGACCACTTGAAATTGGATGGGATTTTAAAACAAGTTTTTTATTTGTTAAATTTTGGATTGAAATTCTAACTGAACGTGAAGCTTTATTTAATTCTTCTAATGGATCCATTTTTTAAAATATAAAATATGTTTTTATTAAATTATAAATATATAATTAATAAATAAAAAATAGCAATAAAAAAATTAAAAAAACTAAAAAAATAAAATTAAAAAAAAAAAAAAAAAAGATTTTTATTTAAAAAACTAAAAAATAAAATTAAAAAAAAAAAAAAAAAATTAAAAAAAAATAAATAAAAAAAATATTATTATAAACAATTTCTGACCTAATTTATCAATATTTCTTTTAAAATCAACTCATCTAGATATTAACTTTTTTTTTTTTTATTTTTTTTCTTTTAAAAAAAAAAAACTGTTGACATGCAACATTTAATTTTTTTTTCATTTTTTTTTTTTTTTAAAAAAGGGAAAATAGTAATGGGTATAAATAGTAAAGATAAAGATAATAACAGTAGCATGGATATTAGTAATAAAAGTAATAATAGTAATAATAATACCAAAGATAGTTTTTTAATTATATGGAGAAACAAGGTATTAAAAAAAGAAATTGAAAAGCATTTAGACCTATTTAGAATCAATTATAGAGTGTTATTTAAAAAAAAAGAATTATTGTTAAATTTCAAATACAGAGATTATATTACCCACTTAAAATATAGCATTGAGGATGCAATTTTACCAGGTGACATACCCAATTATGTTAGAATTCTAGAGATTAATGAAATTGTAAAGATAGAGGCACCTTTAGCAGGAGTAATACCACCATCAGTTCACACATTATATGTATATGCAAATTTCCAAACACCTCTGGAGGCAGGGTCTTTTCCAAATTCAGTTAGAACTATTGTATTTGGTGATTCTTTTGATCAAAAGCTGGATGTAGGAGTTATACCACCAATGATCGAATCTATATCGTTTGGTAAGAGTTTTAATCAGTCAATTTCGAATGGAGTGATACCTCATTCAACAACAGAGCTTTTATTTGGCAGAGAGTTTAATCAAGCTATTAAACCAGGTGACCTATCGAGTAACTTGAGGGTATTAAGGCTGGGTAGATCTTTCAATCGAAATATAGAGAATTGTATACCAGACTCTGTTCACACATTGGAGATTGGAGAAAACAATCGACAGGTATTAAAAGCAGGTACTATCAAACCATCTATTAAAAATCTAACATTAAAAGGTTATTGCAACAAAAAGATGTTACCAAATGGAGTGATACCACCAGAAATAGAAACCCTCACATTTTATAAGAGATTTAAAAATACAATTAAGGGGAATAGTTTCTTTCCACCAACTATAACATCACTATATTTTTTAAATCAATACGATTCCCCATTAAAACCATGCGAAATCCCATCATTTATTAAAGATTTAACAATAGATTGCTATCACGGCTATTCTTTACAAGGGATTGTACCTGTAGGTGTAGAGAAATTAACATTTGGACAATATTTTAACCAGCCACTTAAAGGTGTTATCCCAGGTACCGTCAAGTCATTGGTTTTTGGTAATTTTTTTAACCAACGTATTATTGTAGGTGATATACCATTTGGTGTGGAGTCTATCGAATTTGGTGAAAGCTTTAGTCAAACCATTCTTAAAAACACCCTCCCCACTACGATAAAGTCAATAGTTTTTGGAAAAAGATTCGACAAGGAGTTGGTCAATGAGGGAATTCCCTTTTCAGTTAAATCAATTCAATTTGGTGCTCAGTTCAATCAAGCATTAAAGTTTAATGATATTCCTCCAACATGTGAATCACTTACATTTGGTCCGTTTTTTAATCAAAAGCTCAATGTGGGTGATCTACCTAAATCGCTAAAGACTCTTACACTTGGATGTTTTTACAAACGATCTTTAAATGCAGGTGTTATTCCTAAAGGAGTGGAAACTCTATCGCTCGGGGATATATATAACAGTCCATTAAAAGAATACGATTTACCCCCAGCATTAAAAACGCTCAAATTCTCACTTTTGTTCAATCAACCACTAGGTAAAAATATAATTCCACAATCTGTCCAAACCATTATATTTGGTAGAGATTTTAATCAAGTTTTAAAAAAAGGGGATTTAAATAATGGGTTGCAGTTTATCAAGTTTGGCGGCGGCTATAACCAAATCATTGAGGATGAAAGTATACCAGACTCTGTTAAAATAATAAAGTATGGTCATGGTTATTATGGTCTGGATACTATGGGAATTACCCCAAATAGTTTTTTATTTGAAAAACAAAATTTTAGTTTAATAGGTAAATAATTATAAATAAATTAGATATGTTTAAAGGATAAAGGTTCTTTTATTTATTTATATAATAATTTATTATATTTATTAATTTATATATTTATTTTTAAAAAATTTTAATTTATTTTAATCATTTTTAATATAAACTGTGAATCTGGATTCTTCTTCGAAAATTACTTCATCTAAAGGAAAATCTCCAACTAATTCTACTTCATCTTCGTCATTTAAAGAGAAATCTTCTTTTATACTAAATTTCTTTTTAGCCATGCCATAAAGATCTGAAACTGTGTATTTTTGTGGAATTTTGAGTTTAAAATCTTTGCCTTCATGAGTAATAGTTATGATGAAGGGTTTCTTTGTAACAGGTTCATTTGATGGGCTTGATGCTGAGGCACCATTCAAAGTAGGTGGAACCTTGTTATCTTCTCCAACTAAATGGCTCTTTTTGGTGTCACTTGAGTCCATTTCTTTTTGGAATTGTGTTTGAATGCAAACATCTACGGCACAGGTTAAAAGTTTGAATGCTTCTATGTCTTTTTCAATGTTTCTCTTTGTTTCATTATTGATATATGGGTGAACAAAGAAAATATTTTCTTTTGCTACATTTAAACCAGATTGACTGAGTTGTCTTTTAGCGGCTTCTAATTCAGTTTCATTGAAATTATCACTAAAAGTTACTGCTAAAATTGGTTGGATGTTGACTTTATCTATAACTTCTTCAGTTTTTTTTTTAATTAATTCCATTTCGGTTTTATTTGCAACAATTTCAGCAAGTGATACTACAAAAATGACAGCATGGCATTCGTATTCTTTTTTCTCTTCAGTACTAGCTACCATTTGATCTTTAAGTGTATTATTATGATAAGCACCTTTTGATGCTAATAAATAGTTAATATTTGCATCTGTATTTGTAATACCTGGTTTATCGACAAGTGTAATTTTAATTTTATCTTTGATTGTATCATATAATGGCAACCATGTACTTGCTCTTGCTTTGAAAACATCTAAAATGTTTGCAATTTTGTTGAATGTGATTTTTTTGGTCACATGGTTTTGGAAATTCGAGGAGATGAAATAATTGTAGATTTGTGGTTTCGATGTGAATAGATTGAGCAACATATTTAATACAGATGATTTACCATTTCCCATAAGTCCTTCAACCCAAATGTTGATTGGTTTAAAAGTTTCAAAGTCACCTGCGAACCATACTAAATCGAGAGTAAAGAATCCATCGAAAACTTGTTCTTTAACCTTGATTTTGAAATAGATTTTTGAAGGTAAATCGTATTTTGATGAGTTATTTGCAACCCTTAAAACAAGATGTGCGATATATGGAGTATTGCAATCAACTTTGTTTGGAACAATAACTTTTTGGCCGTAATAGTAGTCATTTGGTAAAATTTCAATTTCGATTTCATTTTCTTTGAAAGCATGTTCATTAGAGTTTAGGAAAATTTTAAAAGAAATTGAAAGATCATCTTTGGAAGTTTGAATTGTTTGATTGGCTACTGAAATTTTATGTAAAACAGGTATTTCAATCTTGTTTTTTGTAATTTCTTTTATATATTCGGTTAATTTGGATGAGTTTTCATATACATGGAAACTGATATTTGTAGATAATGGTGCTAATGTAACCAAAGCTTCATTTTTGGTTGTAATACAACAAAAATTGATACCCTTTTTATATTAAAGTTTTAATTAATATTTTAAAAAAATTTAATATAAAAGTAAATTTTATAAAATAGATGTTTTCTTACCCTATTCATAATACTAGTTATGGTTGTTTGGGGGGCATCGGTGCATGGTCCATTTGAAAACAAAACAATTGAAATTTCTTTATTAAAAATAGAGTCTATTTTTTGTTGAACAAAAAGTAATGCAGAGTTTAAATTTGAGTTGCTTCCAGAAAAAACAATTTCTAAATAAAAAAAATAATAAAAAAAATTAATAAATATACTATGATAAAATATAAATAAAAATACAATTAAAAATAATTACTTTGGATTTCTTCAATTGCCTTGGTTTTATTTGATTCAGATACAACAACAGGATTATCAAAATAATGAATTACAATATAATCAGAGTCATTTGGTTCATTTTTAATAAATTCAGTAGCGGCAGCTTTACTTTTATTTAACTCTTCTTGATTTTCACTTGATGCGCTTGTATCTATTAATATAATATATAATCTTTTTTTTGAAATTATTTCACTTTGTAAGTTTTCCATTTTGTTTGAACAGTGGATTTTATTGAATAAAAAAAAAAAAAAAATTACAAATTTTTTTTATATAATTGGGAAAAATCTTTTTTTTTTTAATTTTTTTTTAATTTTTTTTTTTTAAGTTTGCAAAACAAATACTTAAAAATAACACTTAAAAAATAAAAAAAATTAAATAACTTAAAAACAGAAAATTAATATTACAATAGTTTTATTAATAATAATAATAACAATAGTTTTGATTAATAATAATAATAATAATAATATTAATAATAATTCAGAGCTAAAATAATATGGATCCAATTTTAAAAGATCAATTTACTAATATAAAAAAATATATTGGAATGGGGGATAGAAAAAGTGCAATTACTTCATTAGAAGAGCTTGAAAAAAAAATAGAAATTTATGAAAATGAAAAAAAAAATTTAAATAATTTTATGCATAATTTCAATATTTTTCTTAAAACAAACAATCAGGTATTAGAAAAGTATAATTTAGAAAATCAAAACAATATCAATCAGTCAAATAGTAGTGAAAATTTTTTCAGTTCTATATTTACCAGTTTTAGAGGCTCCAAAGGAAATAAAGGTAGTAATAACATCGACAAAAACATTAATAATACTTATAGGTATAAAGATAATAATATGAATAATAATAATAGTGATTATAATTATAATGATAGTAATAGTAATAGTAATAATAAAATAAATATTAATAATATGAATAATAACAGAGATTATAATTATAACAACAGTTATAATAATTATAATCATAATAATAACAATAGTTATAATAATTATAATAGTATTCATAGTAATAACAGTATAGAAAATAGTATGAATAATATAATTAAAGACCATAGTTATAATAGTTATGATAATATTAATAATAATAATTATAATTATAAAAATAATAATAATATTAATAATATTAATAATATTAATAATAATAGTATAAATAATAATATTAATAATAATAACAATATTAATAATAATTATAATAATAATAATATTATTAGTAATAATAATAATTATAATAGTTATAAAAATAAAGATAGTATGGAAATTGAAAGAAATAATAATAATATAAATAATATGAATAATATGAGCAATATAAATAATAATATCAATAATAGTTTTAATACTAATAAGAATATTAAGAATATTAATAATAATAATAATAATAATATTAATAACAGTATAAATAATAATTATAATAATATTAATAACAATGATAATATGGAAATAGAAAGAAAAAACTATATTATGAATATGGACAACATAAATTATAATATCAATAATAGTAATAACACTAGTATTGCTACCATTATCAATCCCAATAGTAATAACACTAGTATTGCTACCAATATCAATCCCAATAATATAAAATCACATGATACTTGTAATGATAATAACCGAGAACAAAACAAAATAATTATATCATCATCAAGCTCCCCTATTGCGTCGAGTGAACAGTTTGAGGGTACCAAAAATAAAAGTAATAGTGATAATATTAATACTAGTAATAATAACAATAATGACAATATAAATAATAATATTAACAATAAAAGCATCTCTGATAATATAACAACCCAACCAAAATTGAAAAATAAACCTAAAACAATTTATTTTTATTCAAGTATGGGCGATAAAGACTATTATTCCTCAATTTCAAGTTATTTTGCCTCCAATTTACCAATAATTAAACAAGAGACTAAAAATTCAAATGTTTTAATTTTAGAAAAATTTAATAATAGCATGGATACTGCAGATAGTGACGGCGATAACGATAGCGATAGCAGCAGTGGTTCCCAATCCGATAAAAAGAAAACCATTCTATATATTAAAAGTTGTGGTGCCAGAAGACTTAATTATGATTCATTCAAAA